TACATGATTCCGAAGTCACGTCAAGTTCGGACCCGGTCTTCCGCGGCAGTCAGATCCGACTGCTGAGAGTCCGAGTCGACCGTCCGACTCAGGCTGGCGATGATCTGCCCAACTTCAAATGAGATGTTTCAATAACTTAACATTGCAAACTTCGTTAACTCGCTCCGCGCGGCCGCCGCGGCCCCGGAACTTCGGCCCCGGAACCCCGGGCCCGGGCCGGGCCCGCCGGGCGGACTCCCGCCGACAGCCTGTGTGTCGGACGGTCAACCGTTCAACGGTTCCTGATCCTCTGACTCGGAGTAACGGCGGTTGCCCCTGGCAGTCCGATCACTTGACTCAGTCAGTGAAGGCTGACTCGGCCCGGCCAGACTCCGCGGCCTCCTTCCAGTGACTAAAGGCTTTACTGAGTCGATTAGTCGTAGTCCGAGTCCAGCGGCCTGCCAGTGCCGGGCCCTCCGCGCAGTCACCGGTCGCCGTCCAGCCTCTGGGCTGCCTCAGTCTCGATCAAGAGGGTCTGCGGCCGCACTTGGAGCTCAGACCTAGTCAGTTCAGCGCTGGCTCGACGCTGGCCGATCGCATCCTGAAGGACTGGATGCGGCCACCACTCGCTGGGGTGCTGAACTGAGGGGAGGAGGAGGAGGAGGAGGAGGAAGAGACGCCGAACTCGTCGACACTGTTGACGCGGCTCCGAGGCAAGTCTCTGTCGCGGGCGTGAAGCACAGGCGAGCCAACCAGCGACTTCAGCTCTGAGAGGAGAGGGTCAGAGACGATGTGAGTCCCTTCTCCAACGATGGCACGGCGAAGTGTGAGGAGGGCAGGGGAGCGACAAGAGAGGAGGGAGAGAGACGCGTTGCGATACAGGGAGAGAAGGGAGGTGCAGAGCGAGATTGAAAGGATCAGAGTAAGGAAGGGACAGGTGATCACCGAGGAGAGGAGAGGCAGGGAGGGACACGAGGGATCGGCAAGAAGCGAGAGGAGAAGGAAGGGAAAGAAGAGCGCGAGCTGGAGACCTTGAGCGCTCTGGCTGTTGCGCCGGATCTCATGGAAGAGGGCGGAAGGATGAGCGGAGGAGAAGGACCTTCTTGCTGAGCACGACCAAGGCATGATCTCTATCAGCTGTAGGACAGGGTCAGAAACGAAGGGGAGCAGGAGCAGGAGCAGGAGCAGGAGCAGGAGCAGGAGCAGGAGCAGGAGCAGGAGCAGGAGCAGGAGCAGGAGCAGGAGCAGAAGCAGGAGCAGGAGAGAGAGCAGAAGCAGGAGCAGGAGCAGGACGAAAGAGGATCTTGAAGCAGGGAAGACTGGGGGGAAGCGGGGGAGGGGGAGGGGGGCTGCAACAGACCTCCTGCGCTGACATCCGTTTGGATGGATTGATCGCAAGCGAGCCGTTGAGGAACTGAAGCGACGATGAGAAAAGAGCTGGAGGGGACCGGAATAGGAGGCAAGAGACAAGGAAAGAAGGATGTACAGAGGACGAGGGTAGGCGCGTTGTTGAGTAAGAGCAGAAGGCAAAGAGAGGACAAGAAGAAAGAAGAATGTACTTGTATCCATATTCGACGATCGTTGACAGCTCCGCTGGACACGCTCACGTCAGGAGAAAGTTTGAATAGATAATAAGCACAGGTATGAAGAGGAGAAGGAAGAGGAAGATGAGGAGGAGGAGAATGAGGAGGAATGATGAAAGGATGGTGAAAATAAGAGCTACCTGACGCTCTCAGGATAAAACGATTGTGACTGAAGACAGAGTCAGGCCACGATCGGTCACAACAAGCTGTAAACGTCCAGTACCTTCAGCCCTCTCCCGCTCATCTTTGTGGAGATCATCCTCTCCAATCTACGTGAAGGAAAAAAATGTCAAGGGCTGTTATAAGGGATTTGATCATCTGGTACCTGGGGATGAAATGCGGCCATCCACCGAAATGAGCGAAACAACTGGAAGGCAGGAAGTGAGGAACGCAACGGGGGACCGAGAATGATGGGTTACGGTGTTGAACTCATGAAGGAGACATCACGAGGAGTTCCGAGTCTGCTTACAGCATCAACACAAACACAAACACCTCCTCCCCGTCTCCCTCCCCCTCCCCCTCCTCCTCCCAGTCCCCCTCCTCCTCCCCCTTTCCCCTCCCCCTCCCCCTCCATCAACATAAGCACAGCACGAGACATTTGAAAGATCTTGCTGAGTTGATCTTCATTGTAATTGTGATGACGCGGCGATTTGCAGGTACAACGAGCGTTGACATCTCCCTGTAGTTGCGGAAAGTTTTCAGAGCACGCACAACGATACTGATCCAGAACATGTCCTAATGCCTTGATGGCAGAAAGAGAAGGGAACAGCGATGAGAAGAGGAGAGAAGAGGAGAGATGAGGAGAGGAGAGGAGAGGAGAGGACGGGACAGGACAGGACAGCCAAGCAGAGCAGAGCAGAGCAGAGCAGAGCAGAGGAGGAACAAGTAACCATGACAAGTCAAAATCAAAGGCAAGGCGGAGAATAAGAAACATCACAAGTAGAAACATCCGTCACTTCCAGTCACTCTATTGCGATCACCTTGAACGGGGTCGAGCCGCACAGGAGCTCGAGGGCGATGCATCCGATCCCCCACACGTCAACTCCTACACGCCTCGTCAAAACTCGAAGAGACTTTGACCCGCGTCCATACGGTCGTTCACTGTCGTCACTCCCATCAGAACCTCCGGGGCCCGGTACCACAAGGTGATAGTCTGCAATCGTTAGCGAAGGGAAGAACTCGGTCGATGTTGTTCACCTCGCAGTCAATTGCTATCGTGTTGTCTTCCATTTCCCTAGTGACCGCAGGCATCAGTGTCTGTAATCCATTCTCTCATATCATCATCTCCATCTCCATCTCCATCTCCATCATTATCATAGTCATGGCCTCACCTCGACAGCCCAAAGTCGCACAGCCGGACTGTGTTGTCACCGAAGATGAGCACGTTGGACGACTGCAAGGCGGTTAGACGCCGACGGGAGTTGGAGGCTCCACAGGGACCTTGATATCGAGGTGAACGAGGTCGTTTGAGTGGAGGTGCATCACCGCCAACGTGAGCTGGTTCAACCTGGTGGCAAAAGCACGTCAGGCTTCAAGGAGGACGAGGCTGGCGGTGGAAAGGGAAGGAGGCAGGCAGGCAGGCAGGCAGGCAGGCAGGCAGGCAGGCAGGCAGGCAGGCAGGCAGGCAGGCAGGGAAGGGACAAGGGTAGGAAGGGGGAAGGAAAGGAAGGGAGAGGTTCTCGGAGAGAGGGGGAGGGAGGGGAAACGATCATGAGAGGAGGAGGAACCAATTCCAGGCGTCTCGGAGGATCATGCAAACATTCTTCTTTCGAGCGATCTGAAACAAATCGGTCTTGGCCACTTGAGAGCGAAACGGCCAAGTCAGCGATAGGCCGGGGCTCCCGTCAACTCACATTCCATCGCAAAGTATGATCCGTCGTAGCTTGCTCCCAGCACCTGGAAGAAGAATCAGGACACAAGGCAAGACAAGCCAAGAGTCCACAGCGACGACAAGGATTTTCGATCCTCCGCTTCACCTTGATAACATTCGGGTGCCCTGGCAATTTGCTGATAATGTTGAGCTCCTGGGCAGCGATCAGCCGATGGCGGGCCAACCCCCTCGTCTTACGTGTCTCATCGTCTTGAGCATCTCATTCTGAATGTACAAGTCGTGCCCTGCCACCCCGTGAGCGACAAAAGTTGGTCGCCGCAAGACAAGGTAGAAGAGGCGGAGCGCTATACCTCCACGTTTTGGTGAGCTGGGACTGTTCTCCTTCCTGAGAAACTTGATGGCAAGCTGTCCAACAAGTCATGTCGTCCTCTCCCAGCCTCTTGCATCATCACCTCTAGACCCGAATCATCTCTCTTCCTCATCCTGAACACGTTCGCAAAGCTGCCATGCCCCAGGTTCTCGATCGCGAGCCAGTCATCCTGGACCTCCGTCAAACCCTCGCACACTAGCAGCAACAGAAGGGTATCAGCGACCTCGGAGAGGAGGGAGAAGTTGCAATATCCGCTGGAACAGCCCTCTGGCAGGTCAGAAGCAGGTCCCTCCTCTTCCCTATGCCCTATGGATCGCAGCGATCGTTCGACGATGCTGCAAGATAGCCGTCAAGGAGCCTCCCGATCGAAACAGCCTCGTCATCACATGTCTGGAGCTTTCTTGGCAGCTCGGCTCGCATTTTTATCTTTCTTCGACGAGCGGCTGAATGACGGACGGGATATGAATCCTCCTCCTCCTCTCCCCATGGCCCTCTAGGCCTCCTCCTGATACCTCTATGACCGGTCCCGCTACACTCCCGCGTTGGGTCTCAGTCAGACTCAGCAAGAGGATCTTTCCTGGTGTTCGGCATCAACCGTCCATGGCATGCCGACAAGTTCCCTTGCTGTCACTCCGATCGTCGGGAAGTCTTTGAAAAGTCTCGTTCTCTTCGAATTTGCAAGAACCGTACCTCGGCTATCTACTCTTCACGTTGGGTTGCTCCATCAACGCCGGTGTATCAGATTGTGAGAGATGATCCACTGCACAAAGACCATCAGTGCGAAATTATTCGGCACGATTTGCAGCAACTTTTCTCGTTGCAAGAGCAAGGGCAGGTCTGTCATGCCCGTGATTTCGGAGCAAGTGAGCTTGTGGTGAAGGTTACAAGAATGCAGTGATCAGTGAACTCTTGAGGAAGAGATACTTTTCCTCCTCTCATAAACTTCTTTCCTCGCAAGCCACCTCCTGCTTCCTCAGCGCTCAACCTTTCATGGCAAGTTGCAGCAAACCTCAATTCCTCCTCGTCCTTCCTCTCGCATTCTTCCTCAACCCTCCCTACTTCTCTCTCCCCCCTCCCTCATCTCATCTCATCTCATCTCGCATCCTCGTTTCTCCTCACTTCTCCTCTCCTCACGCTCCCTTTCACCTCCTTCTTCCTCCCCTCTCTCTCCTTCTTCCTCCCCTCTACCTCCTTCTCGCCCTTTTCGCCGCATCCTGCCTTCTTTGATCTTTTGATCTTTTTGTACGACCCACCCCACCCCCATCTCAATTGCCTTGCGACCCCCCAACCAGGGGCAGTGTGTATTTCTTACGACCTTCCCAAAGACCTCCTTGCTATATTGGCGCTTCTACGAGCTACCTCAGTTTTTGATATTACAGCGATTATCAAATATCTGATGTACACCCATGTCTGCTTGTACCTCTACCCTTCGACCACCCCTGTTCTCCAAAGTAACCTTTACCAAGGACCCCACCATGGTGTCGGGAGGGTGGGTATCCAACAAGATCACTCCAGGGTACGAGATCAAGTACGTATTCAACTGCTGGTAGACATACGAAACTTTACTTTAAAATTTGAAAATTATTCAGATCTTTTCAAAGCTGGTATTTACTTTACATCGCGGGGCCTTCAGTCACGGCATCCGGTCGCCTTGTTACCGAGGTACAAGAAAGTCACTGAGAATGCCGCGGGCCCGGAAATTGGCCGCCGGGCACCGGGCCCCTCAAAAAAAACGTCAAAAATTGTCAATCAATTAGGACGGGCGGGAGCGCCGCTCACATTCGCATGATGAGAGAGGGAGGGAGGGAGGGGAGGGAGGGAGGGAGGGAGGGAGGGAGGGAGGGGAGGGAGGGAGGGAGGAGGAGGAGGAGGGAGGGAGGGAGGGAGGGCCGGAGGGCAAGGGGAAGAAGAAAGGCTGCCAAGTGTACATCCCTCTTGGGTCCAACTTTGGGAAGAATGAGCAGTAGGCTAGACGTGAAAAGAGAGGAGAAGAGTAAGGCTCTAAATCAGAAAGACGCCCTTGAAATGAATGTTTTGCACGCAGGTCACATCATTGGTCGTCGACCATGTCCAAAGAAGGCGGGGAAAGTGAGGTCTCTAAGAAAAGCGAGCCTACGGAATCAGTCAGGTCGACATGGTTGGATTCTCTCTCCCTCTGAAGATACTCCCTTCCAGATGGACGACTCTACTCCTCCGCGTTCACACAATCAGACAAGGGTCGCTGCGCTTGAACTTTCTCAGACGTGAGTCCAACCTGACCGTACCTCATCCAACGTGACACGAGCACGCAGTCGGGATCTTCCTCCTTGTGCTTATTGGCCTGTACTTGTGTGTAGGTGAGCATCAGTATCACCTAGAGACGCACGTCTTCTTAGCACTGTGATGGACAGGAGCGATCTTGAACTACAACGTTCGCGATGCTGATCAGCGAGACATGGTGCGTGAGTCTGTCAAGCTCGTCGGTTGAAGCTGCTGCTAGGTCACCAACATGAGGATTTTGCTACCAATGAGGCTTCAGGCGCACAAAACATTCCAGAATGAATATGAGCTGGTGATGAAGGGCACTGGATTGGGCTGCCCTGAGGCCTGTCTTGTTCATGTGGTGACGTTCCTTCCTGTTTGTCAGACCTCCATCACCCTGCAACAAAACGTGCTCGCCGTCACCACTGTCACAAAGAGAAGAGCGAGGTTGAGCGACCCGAGGCTGTTGCCATACGCAGATTTCCTGCATGTCAGAGCTTGCCCTGCACCTGTCGAAATGATTTCTGATCCTGATCCAGCCTATGGTGATGATGATTGTACCGCGAAATCCACCCATCCAATGGACTTACTACAAGGTTGGGTAACTGCGTTTTTTCTTCAGCACTGAGGTGCAATGGTTCAGACCGAGCAGACTAGTATTCAATACCCTCCCTTGTCACCTCGTGCCTCTTTGGACCTCTCGCTCTCCTTCAAGGTGATGTGCGAGATCGGTGAGATAGAAATGGCAGGTGAATGATACTCTTTTCGTGCAGATTCCGCAGCACAAGTACTTGTTTGCCGTCCAGGTCCACCCCATGACAAGGAAAATCCTGTGGGTGTATGACGAGGGAAGCGAGTAGGTGTACAACACGCTGCCGCTTTCCAAGAAGCCGACCTTCCAACAAATCGTCCGGGTGAGGAAGAGCGGGGCAAGAGCGGAGCGAGCTCTGTGGTCCAACTGACGGCACGCCCTCAGGTCACCGCGAACACGGACAAGGTCGTGGATGTGACGGCGACATTTTCGGCCTCCGCCAGGGCATACGACGTGCAGAAGCTGCAAGGGGGACATTTGCGAGTGAGGTGATGACTTGCTGTTCGCCGTGTGATGGTCTGCAAGGTACGAGTGGTGTCTGAGATCGTGGTGGAGATCCGATTCAACGCCATCGACGTCCCCGCCACTTTCATCCAGGGAGGTGAAGTATCGTCCCTTCCTCTCGGCTCCTCCTCCTCGCTCCCTCTTCCACCTTCCCCTCCTCCCGTGATCCCATCCCGGTTGTCTCCTCCTCTCCTTCCTCATAGTACCAGCAAGTCATTCATCAACCCTCCCCCTCTTCTTCGTCGTCCATCTCCTCCTCCTCGCTCACCTCTTGCAGACATCGCCGCCCTGGACTACATCGGGGAGGTCCGGCAATTCGTGAAAATCAAGGGGCAGTCATGTGAGACGAGGGCTGCTGGGAAGTTGAGTGTTGCTGACAGCTGAGAAAATCGACGCGAGCAGGTCAGACGCTCTTCAACAACCTCTCTGAGTGCCGAGACACCTTCCGGTTTCCTCAGATTCATTCCGTGAACGGTCTGCTGCCCCACCCTTTGGCCCCCCTTCCACGACTTGACGTGCTTGCTGCTGCTCCTCCTCCGCGACTTATCATACTTGTCTTACTCCTCCTCTTCCACCAACACAACCACCACAACCAACACAACCAACACAACCAACACAACCACCGTAAACCTCAACCTTGTCATAAGCCTCACCAGTACCAATACCCCACTAGTATCTGCATGAACCATCACCACCACCAACACCATAATCATCTCCATCACCATCATGGCCGTGACCATCATCATCATCATCATCATCATCAGCAGCAGCAGCAGCAGCAGCAGCAGCAGCAGCAGCAGCAGCAGCAGCAGCAGCAGCAGCAGCAGCATCACCACCATGCTAAATCTCCGCTTCTCCCCGTCCTCTATCCGTCGTACACTCCTCCTCCTCCTATCATCTTGTTCAGTCTGAGGACACAAAGTCTGTACCGTTCTAACGTCCAGCTAGCCACCAACTGGCAAACGATCTACGAGGGGGCAGCGCAAGGAGTGCAGGAGGTGCTGTCGCGCACTCGGAACTTTCCCATCACTGTCTATGTGAGAGATATGAACCAGGTTGAAGCTGCTCAAACCCTCTCCTCCTTCTCCTCCTCTTCTCCTCTCCTCCTCTTCTCCTCTCCTCCTCTCCTCCTCTCCTCCTCTCCTCCTCTCCTCCTTCTCCTCCTCTTCTCCTC